TATATATATATATATATATATATATACATTTATTTTTCTTTTTAATATATAATGTAATTTAAAGCTGAAGGAAGACAGTATTGAACAGTATCAGTGAACAATTTGGATCATAATAGTTCTGAGATTCATTTGAAATATCATAAACCAATATTTTTTTCGAAAGTTTTGCTAAATTAAACTAAAAGAAGAGGGAGAGAATAGGAAAGTCACAGTATATGGTGACTATTGATAGCTGTAGATTTAGATTTATCTCTGCAACAGAAGAGAACATCATCTGGTGAAACATTTCAGCTTTCAAGTACAAAAAAAAAGATAAACTTTAAAAAAACCAGGACCTATGAATCTGTAATAAGATTAAATTAGTTAATCAAGATTCTAACTAACCTTAATAACAAGTGTGCCTACATCCAAAGGATGGGAGTCATCATTTCAACTGTCTGATATGCAACACCCCATCTGTGGCTCTTGCATCAGCTGACCTGTATCACTTCGCTAGTTTAGTGAGCTTTTCCAACCCAGGAACAAGTGAGAAAGTCAAGTGACTCAAAAAAAAGTCTTAGTTTTGAATCATTTACTGTCCTAAGTTATTTTTAAGAGCAAACAAGTTAACAAAGCATTTGTCTGACTCCGAGGTTTGGCAGATATTCTCCAGTTAGTGTCCTTTTATCATGGGTCTACATATCATCTAAGGAAAGTCAGTAACTACGTCATTACTGCTCTAAGGAGAAGATGACTGAGTCATCTAAATAAAAACAGCAGTTGGAGAGAATCTTATATATTTCTGTTATTATTAATATTTGCATACAGTAGAGCGCAGGGATCCTAATGTGGGATCCTGAGGAACTCCTTTGGGCACTGGAAATGGACCTCCTCTTATAAACAAATGGGGAAAAAAGCAGACTTCCTCTGCTCAAGTAACTCTGTGATTACAATGAGTGTGTCTGTTTTACAGATCCAGGATGTGGCCGAACAAGGGTCCATGTTTGTGGGGTTTCTCCAGCAGCCAGGTGGAGGACCGTATTTTTGGGGTCACTGGGACCCAGAGGAGCTATCATCCTTGCATTCAAGCCCATCACCGATACATCGACAGCCTTTTAGCACCAAAACAAGCCCAACTAGACCAAATCCTATTGGTGAAGATGCTGATATCTGTTGCTGTGATACTGAAGAGATAGATCGGAGGGGTGTAGAGGGTGTCAAACAGGACCAAGTCTCCTCGATTTTCAGACCACCAGACCTCAGCAATCTGAAGCACACTGCAGACTTTCCTCATAACCCAGATGAGCATAATGATCAATTAATAACTTCACAAACTGTAGCCATAGACTGCAATAAACCTCATATCCACATCAAATCTGATGCTCATAAAACTACAGAAGTCTGGGGAAAATGGTCAAGTCTACCAGAAACAGCAGTCACAACAAGGCTGCAGGAGTGTAGATTACATGGGATTAAACAGCACTGCACTGAATCTACAGAGAAACATCTCAGCCTATCCAAACAGAAGGAAAGGAGGGTCTCCAGCCCAGACAGCTGGCTCAGCTCTCCAGAATTGGACCGTAAGCATGACAGAAGATCTGACTTAACTCAAGCAGACGGACAAAGACGCGTGACAACACAGAACAACAACCACATCAAGCTGAAGAATTCTGGGAATGACACGGATTCAACTTCACCACCGACGCAGGCTAGTAAGTAAGCAGGAGGTTGTTTTGGTTCTCAAACTAGACAGGCAGGCCTTTCTCTCTACTTAATCTTTCTGAATTGTTGCTCTCATGTATGCAGGGATGCAGCTGTTTGCGCTGTACAACCACACGGAAGAGCCCGACACCTCCCTGAGGTTCTACTCTCTCCGGGTGCCTCTGCATGTGCAGAAGGAGAGGGAGGCAATCACAGACATTGATGCAAACTGGCTCGACCACATGACTCAGCATTTTAGCAGCGGAGCACAGCTCATTGATGGGTTTTTTCACCTCACAGATGATCATGGTTTGTCCTAGTTCGTAAATATGATGATTCTTTTAACACTTTCTATTCATTGTTGCGGGCTTCAGGATATCTTTGAATAGCATAGTCCAATAAAGTGTCTTGCTTATATTTTCTTTGTTTTTAGTTTAAAAACTTACAAACTTGCATCTGACCAAAAGAAAGCAGTATATAACTAAAAGTGGGGCACAATGGTGCATGTTATTTTAGTTATTGTGTTTTTATACAAATAGAAATCTTAAAAGTGAGACTTGCTTTAATTCAGTGCTCTTCAGTCTCACCTTCTATTGTACATTCTATGGGTTGTGTGTCTACTTGTGTTGCACATTTATAAATCTATAAAAAATCTCTTTTGTAGACAATCTTGTTTGCAAAATAACCCATGCTCTGTCAAATAGATTGGCATTAGTTCAGCCTGTTGTATTTTAACTAAGCCATTACATGATTAATTCCAATGCAGGCCCAATTGACAGTTTTTGTTTTAACTCTTCTGCAATCTCAAAACTTGTTTTATTTCAATTTTCCCTGTATTTTGCTCTTTAGGGTACAAAGCAAATAGTTGCCTACCAAGAGATTCTCCCATTTATACTAAGAGTTGTTGCAAGCCTAATGAGTCAAATGATCTCCAAGCAGCTGGAGTGGACAGCCTTGTCTTAGTTGGATTGAGATTGTGTCATAGTTTCCATTTTAAGATAGATTGAACAGTTGGCATATTGTTTTATAATTCTCGGTAACTTCCTCTCTGATCCGTCTGCTGTGTTCCTTGGTTTAAATCAAGCTGTCTGTTCTCCAATGTTCTCTCATATAAAAATCCCAATGAGATACATTAAGGTTTTGCGGTGATAATATCACATCTTAAAAACAAGAGGTATGTGCACCTTTGCAAGGTAATTTAGCTTAATGAGGCTTGTAGAATGAAATATCTTGTCATGGTGAAAAAGCTGTAACCTATTTCTTGATCAAAATCTAGGATTATGCTGAGATAATTGCTTTGATGCCAGATGATCACAGGAAGAAAGGAAATCTTTTTTCTTATAAGTTTATTGCTTATTACAGCCTTATAGATTCTGTACCATCTAGATCTAACCTAAAAATGTTCCTTAACTGAGAGTGTGATTCAATGAGAAAATCCCTGCTGAGTAGTGGATGGGATACGCATCAACCCTAAAATCTACGGCCTGACTCCCAAGTCACTGTTCAGCAGCACATTAAAGATCTAGGCTTAATCTAAAGCTCTCTAGGTTTGAATCACTTACATCCTCCTGTGTTTGTCTGTGACTGCTTGTTTCCAGTCCCTGGAGTCTCATCTGTGGATAGCGTTTTCATCTTCCAGAGCTCCGTGGAGGACACCACAGACACCTCCTATGACGCCATCGTGGTTGAGCAGTGGACTGTTATAGATGTGAGTTCTGGTTTTTGTGCTGGGGAGACAAATTTTGCACAAGTTTTGTGAAGATAAAAGCAGAATGAAGAGAAAGCCTGATTCTTCGCTGAATTTATTTAGGCAGAATGCTATCTGAAACTTTATTCTTCAAGTAATAAATATGAAAAACTGTGCAGTTTCTATAAATTGAGATAAAAAATGCCTAATATTTGTAAATGGGTCCAATTCACACAGGGTCAGATATATAGATCCAGTCCCTGATATAAAAATATTGCTGTAGGAATATTTGATTAAATATATTTATTTGTAAGCTGAGGTCAGTTTATCGCAGAGGCTTATCCTCATGCTCTTTTCCAAAAGTAGCTTTAATATAATTGAAGGCCGGATGACATCTCTTACATTTGACTTATTCACCTGAGGTGTGCATAGTGGCTCATTCTAAGCATTGAGTGAGCAGACGTCCCAATCTGTGTGGGACATGGTTAATTTTTCACCTCTGTCAAAATGTCCCACAGACTGAAACAATGTCTCGCATTTGACCAGGTCAGATTACTGCAAATCAGATGAATAACTGAGTAAATAAATATTCAACAGGTTCTTTTTTTAAATGTGAAGAAAACAGAGCTGCAGTCACTGTTATAAAGCCGTGCCAGCTGTCAAGCAAAACGCAAGCAGTGTCCCACGCCATGACTAGCCTGCAGGCAATGCTTTTATAATACAAGTGAAATATTTTAATACAAAATGTATTAGAGGCTACGTTTAAAGAAAAGAAAATGCAGCTACAACAAAGACTATTTATAACTGGGTGAGGCTTCTCATAAACGTCCTTGTTGCACCACATTTGTTTTTCAAGAAAGAAAGAAGGGAAAAAAAAGAAGAATGAACAAATTAATTTGTAATCCAATCTGCTTACCACTACCACCGGAGACAAAACAGACCCTCAGCATGATGCTGTCACCACTATGCTTGATACTTTATGCAGTGTTCTTTATATTTTAAAGGCTATCTTCAGTCTTTGTGTCCTCTGATTATTAAACTAAGAACATTTGGTTCATAAATTTTGCAGAAGAAGTTTCAGTCATGCTTCAAACTGTTTTTGATCTTTCCTTCTTGTTGTGATGCTAAACTCCCTTTTCTGTGAATAGGGTCAATGTGTTTGACCATATAGCAGAATTTAACATCATTGCAATGAAGAACCTCAGAAAAAATTGGATGTAATGGGTCATACTTGACTCCACATATTTTAGTGTCCAAATGCATTATAGAAAACGAAAAAAGGAAGCTACACAAACTACTGACCAATCCTTTAATGTGGATATTTTCTTGTATGCACTTTAATGACCATGGCCCTTTTCAGGGTGTTGTGGTGAAGACGGACTACATCCCTCTGCTCCAGTCCTTAGCTCCATATGGATGGAGACTGATGTGTGTGCTGCCAACACCCATTGTCAGAACAAACAGGTACCTAACGCTTCCAAAATTATAGGTGAAGAAATATTCCACTTTTAATCTTGTTGACAAATGTCTGCTAGACGTATCCGGGTCTAATTACGGCTCTGCTTGATTGTTGATTCTTCTCATCTAACATGTTGTTCTCGTTCCTTTCGGGAGCAGGACTGACACTGAAACGCGGATGTGAAGGACAGATGGCGCCAGATCTGACAAATCCTGATCATATGCCCGTCTCAACATGAAAAAGCTTTTGAAATCTGTTGCCTTCTGCGAACAAACAAGCAAAGAAAAAAAAAAGCCATCTCTGAACTGCTTTTGTTTTTTAACCTGTCACTTTAGAAACCGCAGGAAGCAGAGACTGGATCTCAGCGTGTGTGGCGTTAATGTAGGCTCCCTGAATTACAATATGATGGGTAACGTTCATTAAAGGGCTTCTCTCTTCTTTTTGCAGTGATGGAAGTTTGTCGACTAAGCAAATCCTTTTTCTTCAGAGACCCATTTTGCAACGCAGGAGAAAAGACTTCAAGGTTCGTCTTTTGTCTTTATAGCAAATCCATCCGTTTTCTCTGTTGTGCCTTGAGGGCAAGTGACTTTATGTCACAGGAGGTGGCATTACAAAAAAAAACTGTACGTTTCTAAATATGGGATGTACAGCAAATATAAAACCCCAAACAAGTCTAATAATAGGCAAGTAGTTGGCCTCAAACTGTACAGGAAAGAAGCATCAGAGAACAAGGCTTTGTTGTGATTTGTCAGGTGTCTGGGGAGATGCGAAAGAAAAGACGTGACACAAAGCAGGAAACAATCTCAAACGTGTCTGTTTGATTTCAGATGCTGAACCTCAGAGGTCGCAGTAAAGCAAAGAAACACTCAGCCGGGGAGGCGTTAGACGAGCAGGAGAACAAGTCCCTCGTGATAGAGACTGAGATGGACAGGCTGAGGATCAACGAAGAGGAAGACGAGGCGGTGGTAGAGGGGAGGAAGAGAGGGCACGGCGGAAGGAGCAAAATAGCGAGCCTTCAGAAGAGCGGAGAGGATGGGCATCAAAAGGCGTTCTCCCTTCTGTTGGAGCGCAGGGCTTCTGTTGAACATCAAGAGGAGGAAACTGATGTGGACGCCATCCTGGCACCCAGACAGGAGCAGGTGGTGAAATGGATGGATTTCTGTCCAGTTGATGAGCGGGGGCTAAAGGAGAAGGTCAGGGTGGAGGAGCGGATTAAACAGCAGCTATTCTCCGGAGTTTGTTGACATGAAGTTTGTGGGAACCAAGCAATCAGAAACCTGGTTATCCTCCCATAAAAAAAGTGTTTTAATGGTTTGAGTTCCTAAAAAATGCAGAGTCGAGCATAAACTGTGCTGTGGAAAAGTATTTCTGTTTTTCCCTTTTTGTTTTGTTGACCTGAGTAAATGCAAATTGCAGCTTTTAAGTAATGATATTCTAACTTAGTACCAAGTAAATAATCTTTCCACTTGTTAAATTATAAATTAAGAGTTTTTATTGTCATGACGTGACCATTATAAAGTTTTCTTTAGACACCAGCCCCAAACACACATATAATACACAGGCATACTTTAAAAACAATGAAAAAAAGAACTTGTATTTTCAAAATAGAAAAATAAAAGTTGGACGTGCAATGTAGAAGGGAGGATTTACGTAAAGTGTAGGTTCTGGTTCTGAGTCCATTTGTTTCAGATTTAATGTTTCTGAATCATTTCTCCTGGTGAAAGAGAGACAAAGTGTCATTACCTGGATGAGCGGTGGTTTGGGGAAACACACCTTTTTCTGGCCGTATGCAGCATAAACTGAGTGTTGTGCTGATGATCTGGTGGTCCTGGTTCCTCTTTGTATTCTGGTTGCTGCTGTTGAAATTTTGCTTAATGCTCTGGGCTTTGCCTGCTGATTGGCTCTTTAGTTCTCTGCGGGCCCTGCTGTGGGTCAGTCTGTCTCCTGATCAGTAAGCTGCATCATGATCTTTGGGAAGGAGCCAAACTGGGCTGTCAACTGATTGTTTCTGGTTAGGAAAAACCCTGATTATGCAGGGAGTGCAGCAGCAATGCAGACATCAATATAGGACAGACCAGTACCTGGAAGGAGAAAGTTTGGCCTTTGGTTTGTTACCGTTGGTCTGTTACCACTCTGGTTATGCACCCTGACTGAAAAGCTGCATAATTACCTTATAAAAGCAACTGATGCTGGATAACCTTCCAGTATGTGGAGTTATTTATTTTTATTTTTATTAAATTGAAGAAAAAGGCGATTTACAAGGGGAAAATCATTTTAAAGGTAAAATAAATATATTGGAGAGAACACATTTTCATACTGATGGCAAAAAGTGATGCACTTTGAGACGGACGGAAACGTTTTGAGAGAAAATATTTTGTCACAGAATAAAAGATAAACTGACATTTGGAAAATGATTTCTCTCTTAAAACTTTTTTTTTGCCTCAGTTAACCAAAAAAGTCTTTGTTCTTGATTCAGGATTTTTCTCTCAATATGAAAAACCTGTTAATTCTGTCAAACCTGGCCAATAGAAACACAGGCGCGTTTTTTACATCTAGAGAAAAATCCTGAATCGAGAGCAAAGACTCAAAGAAATGTTTTTTTTTTTTTTTTTTGACAAAACACTAAAATAACTCCATACAGTGTGGCTTAAATAAACTTTCTGCAAAAAAAAAAAGAGTTGGCCAAAACTCCTAAAATAAAAAAGACTCCTTCCCACTTTCAAATGCATGGCAGTTTTCAGATATCTTCATCTGAGATGGGGGAAAAAAAATGGTTTGATGATCTGAAACTTGTCAGTGTAAAACGATAAGAAATCTGTAAGGGGCCAAATGCCTCTTTAGGGAACTCTAGTACATTTATGTTCCGTTCAGATGCCAAAGCTCTGAATTCCTAAAAGTGTGCTGCAGACATTTCTGCCTTCTTGTGTTTAATGTTTTTATATATAAAAAAAAGAAAAAAGTCAAGACTCACTGTACAAAGCTATACAACTTTTTAAGCCAATGCCTTAAATAGGAGTTTCTTTTTCATGTTCTTTTTTTTAACATTTGCTGTCTATTTAAGGCTTATAAGATATCCATAGTGCAGAATAATAGCAGGTTAATTTGCCTTATACCATCTCCCACTTTAAACTCCAAAAATCCCTCAACTTACTTGTATAACTCACTCTATATAAACATTTTCTAAAAATGTTCTATTTCAACCCAAACCAAGTGGTTGTAGTTCTAATCTATTTTTGAGCCAGTTGATTTTTATGAAATATAGCTGAGAAACTTCTCGCTGGTCGACAATATCTATTAGTCCGCATAACCTCATCTGTAACCATAAGCGTTAATAAGCAGATGACTTATACAACAGATGTCAAGGCACGTATGAAAAGATCAACAAAAAAAGGTTTAAAAAATAAAGAGTGATTGGTATTAAACATCCATTGGCAAGCTGCTTTTTACAACACAGTGGGGTCCAAAAAACCTAAAACTGTAGAATAGAGAAATGACCGCCCGATGAGAAACACGTGCAGGATGGTGTGGGAGTTTAACCCTTTCAAAAATGTTTTATGTAAATAAAGATTGAGCTTTCAGTTGTAGTACAGGTTGTCAACGTATCGTTAATATGAAACTGTAAAAGGTGAGGATCCCGTTTTGGAGTTTAAAGGTAACTAGACTCAGTATTTATTTTTGTAAATTACACTCAGTTTCCATCAAAAATGTCTTGCTGCCTTGGATTTTTAAATTCGTTTTGTTACAGCCACAATCGTTAATGTTTTCGGAGATCAAATTAAATCTGTGCAAACTATACCATGTTTATTTGGATAACACATGGTTGACCAAATGCAGCACAGGTGCACGAAAAACATGGAAACAAAGGTAGAAAAATGACCACTACACCATTAATTTTAGGCTAAAACAGACATTCAATGTTAGACTCATAATGTTTTAAAAGACAAAAAGTGAGATTGAAATATTCTCAGCCAATGAAGCCTGTCTCATATGAAGAGATGGATCATTTCACCACTTCAGGGACACAACAGAAAAGGCTTCTCCATTTGTTCTGTGATTTAGGAACCTCCAGCAGCATCTGGTTAGTGGATCTGAGGTACAACAAGGTATATAAGGATGCAGCATTTTGGACAAGGATGTTGGAGAACAGCTTTTAAAAGAGTTGAAAACTAAACAAACTCCATAGAAGGTTAAAATAATCCAGCCAGGAGGCTGTAAGCATGGATAATCTATTTCAAGTTACGTCTGTGAAGAAGGGAATCAATCATAGACGTCTAAGATGAAAAATGGGGATTTTTACCACAGTTAATGTGGTTATTAAACATGAGGAACTAAAGTCGAATGACGGGTTTAGAGTGAAAAAAAATCAGCAGAGGGAACTGGTGGAGGATTTTGGACTGAAAAAAAAAGATATATTTCATTTTGATTAAAATGCCATCCATGGTTTTATGTCAGAGGTGAACCTCAGACTGAGATATAGGGAAGCAGATCTGACAGCCATCAGGCATGGGCGGTTCCAGACAGGGGCCAACAGGGGGACAATGCATAAGGCTTCAGTGGTATTGAGATAGGGTCCCAGATAGGGTCTGAGTTTTCATCTACTAAATGTTTTTTAAAAACATAAAAAAAAAAAAAAACACTATTCAGCCGTAAAAAATAATTTTTACAGCTGAATTTATAAGCTTTTCTTGAGTTCTTATTTTGATTTTATAGAAAGCTGTAATTTTCACTTAAATTAAGTCAGAAATATGTAAAATTACTAAATTAGGACTGTATATTGACCTAATTTTCCCAATAACTTCATTTATTTGATCTTTTAGATATTTATTTAGCTACAATTGTTTTTGAGTTGCTTTTTTGCTATGCTAAGAGATTTAGATTTTAACAATAATCCAACATTTTCAACCCAAAAATAAATGTTTTCTGTTGGAAGACAGAATTTTAATTAAACCTAATTAAATGGAAATCTAACTTCATGCAGCTCTCTTAATATGTTTGAATCCCTTGCCCTGTTCGTTTGTTTCATGCTTTTCTGTGCCCCCATGAAAACACGCTGGCCCCCTCCCGGCCCCATGGTACATTTGGTCTAGAACCGCCACTGCCATCAGGCTAGAAATTGATTTAAATCCTTTATTTGAAATCAGTTCCTAGTGGAAAAAGGTGTATTGGAAAAGGAAGTGTCCCGAGAACAGAGCCCTGAGGTATTCCACATACCAGGTCAGTACAGGAAGAGTTTATTGCATTATTGGGAAGTGGGGGGAAAAGTTTTTACAATAGGTTTGACATATATTTGAAATGTGTGACACACTATTCAGCCTTCCTGGATAATACTTTGTATTGTATGACCAGCATGTTATAAAGGTACAAGTCTTCTGTGGTCCTTCTGTGTGTCTAATAGCTGCACATCTAGAAATAGATACTGTGCCTGTTGGTCTTTGAAAACCATCCTCTCAGCATTATGCTACCATTACAATGTTTTCTCATAAGGTTAATTGTGTTTCAGGGATTAGGATTAGGGGATTGAAACTTTAGTGCCAAACAGGTTCAAATACTCATAGGTGAAAAATGAAATCAGTTTTGGTGTAATCTGACCAGAACTGTCCTTTAAACATTGCAGCAAACAACTTTATTTTCTGCAGATTTCTGCAGGTGGTCCAGAGTTACATGATTTTTGAAATGTTTAATCCAATTAATTGAAAGGTGCCATTTGTGATCTTAACATTGGTTTCATAATTTATTAAATTCATTGTAGCTTTTGATTGTTTTACAACAAGATTTGAGAAAGTTTAAAGGGTGTGAACAGTTTTGTAAGGCATTGAAAATGCTTTACTGGGGATGCAGTACACTCCAACAGAGCTTGAATTGGTGGTTAGAGACACATGTTCTCATTTGTTATTACCCATGTTTCTGTGACATTAAAATGGGTTCAGTATATTTATTTTTAACATTGCAGTTTAGATGTTTGCTTAAGGAATTAACAGATTTAGTCTAAAGGACAATGGTAATTGGGAAATTCATTAAAAAGACGCCTCAATAGTCTTGATCAGGCAGTAAAGTCGTGTCCTGGGTTTTAGTTTCATTTTTAAACTATGGTAGCAAATTCACTGCTTATTCAAGGGACTTTAAATACCAGCACAATCTGTCACCAGTGGGCTGCAAAGATCGAAAAATCCCATCTAAGAGAGGGCAATAAAATCAGTGTTTGGAACATAATGAGAAGTAATCTGCAGAACAAAAAAAATGCCAGTGTTTGTAAAGAAGACAGCAGGGGTAGATGAGCTGTTTCTTTATAGCAGGGAAATGAGAAAGTGTTACATTAGGTCCTTTGGAAAAAACAAGCTCCAGGAAGCAGACCCATCACTGTCAGAGCTAGAGACAACAGAGAGGCTTCATGTAATTCATGGAATGGCAAAACTAGTCGTTACCACATAATTAAAATCTCCAATCCAGTTTGGGAAACGTGATGCTTGTGGAAACATTACTGAAGCCAAAGATCAAAGCAGGTAAATAAAAAAAAAAAGGAGTTGGAATAAAGAGAATCCTTTATATAGGGATGCTCACCTGATATGTAATGTTAATCTTTTAGTCATACCTAAAGGATTTAAGACCATGCAGAGGAGGAATTTATAGGTTCACTGCTTCTATAGTCTCTACAGGCTCTATGTACCAGCATATGTATGAGCTATTTACAACAAAAAACAGGAGAATGCAAAGCAGGGGAGATATATAGTTCTTGTATTTAAAAGCTTTACCTTTGTGTGGTATATGCTCTTTAAACGAAAGCGACATTTTCAAACTCTGGAGGCAATAGAAAAGTTTTATTTGCAATAAGTCATCCGAGAATGTGTTGTTTAGAAATCAGCTCTTTATTCGTTTCCTGGACTAGCAGTGAAGTGCATAAATGGTGTAACAGTTGGGTCTCGGTTAACAGCAAGGTCAATAAAGTGTTTAAAACCAGACTTCCTCAAAGTTTGTTTATTTCTTCCATTTCAGTCCAACGTTATCTTCATAAAGAGGAAAAATTACAACCCTCGCTGAGAGACGGCAGTGGGAAGCTTGCTGTCATCTCTCAGGGACGATCAGCGATCCGTGCCAATCAGAGACCACCTGGAGGTTCCATTACAGAGCGCCGTGGGATGCTTAACCTGCCCTGGGATGGAAAACTGTTTGCTGATGTGTAAGATGTGCGGGAGAAGAAGAGACTGCACAGATGATGAGCTCTGTGGGGGAGGAAACGAGAATGTGGTGCTGGCCAAGTACTTGGGAGACTGTCAAGTTTTCACTTAAAAGATGTGAGATGTAATTACTCTCATGGATGAAGCCAAGCTCATCAGCCAAAATAGTTTTAAATTGTTGCATTGGCTGATGAAGTCATTTCTTTTCGGAATTACACAAAGTATAGGATTAAAAAAAATAAAAAATAGTGACTTTATAAGGTTTAAATTTCATCTCCTCTGTTCTCAAGAGTTTAGATGACAGATTAACACAGAAATCCCATATCTTTAATGAATGTGAAGCTGACTAAATCAGACAGTAAGGCCCAAACTTTAGCTGCTGCTCTGTAGCATAAGGGTGGGAGCATTATAGTCAGGGCAGTGAGTTAAGTAAACAATGTCATGGAAATGTTGTGGCAAAAACCCTAACCCTGAGACTACAGCAAAGTTTTTAACACTTAAATATGAAATAAGTGGAGAAACCAACCTTCAAAATGACCATTCTGGCGGTTTTTTTAAGTGCAACTGGCCTGACAGGAAACTACTTTTCAAATTAGGGGAAAGCACTGTTCAAAGTGGAAGTCCTTTCTGCAGGAATCGGTTAGCCATTCTCATTTTCAGAGGAAGCAATAAGCTATTAGAGATAAAATATTTTTCTAAGGGTACATATAGGCAGTTCATTCAGGCTCCTACACAGAATTAGACTTTAGAAAATTTTCCAGTATAATGGGGAATGATCCACCACAGAACCCCAGTTCCTAGGATTGGGCCTTCAGTCAGGTTAGCATGAGAGAAAACTGACTTGGTACGAACTTCACCAGGTAACAGAGCATCTGAATGAGGTACTTTTTATGCTTCATGGATTATGCAGGGTTTAGCAACTAAGATGCAACAGACAGATAAGTTGGTGAAGATTCTCAGTCATCCAGGTCATAGTCATTCCAAAAAAGTTAAACTAACGTGTGAACCCCTTTCAGAGACTTAAGGGCTAGTTATCCTCCCGCAGCAGTGTGTCGCAGTGAGCTTGTCGCAGATATTTTTGATTTATGCCCAATATTGAAGCGTGGTCTGCTCTACATTAATCCATGCCACAACGCAAGAGGACAATCACAAACTAGCTGTGGGACTACCGGTAGATACGGCTGAGGCGTTGAGGGCAAGTTTGTGCAACAATAGAGGGACATGAGGACGAAATAGAGCGGGGATCCAGGTGGAAAAAGGGTCCCTGCGTTCTCACACACCTCGCTGTTCTAGCTGCTCCAACTTCACGAGTCGTTTTCCACAATGGCGGTCATACAAACAAAACAAGCCTGTAAGGTATCAGACAGGAAATACGTATAGTTTAGAGCGGATGTAGATTTGACCAATCTGAGCCCTCCTGTCTGCGGTCTCCTACAATTTTCGAGAGGTGCACCAGAGTGTCTGCGGAAAGTGTGGGGGCATATCTGCGTCTGCAGACGACTTGGTTTCTGAGCATAAACCAGCCTTAAGACGGGTATGGGGCACTGCAGGCTAACAAAATAAGCCAAACAACCCTCATTCCAAAAGGTTGGACCTGTTCGTCTGTTTCAATTTGCATGTTTTCAAAACAAAAACAAGGTTTTGTTGGGCTACTATATAAAACCTCCTGACATTTTGAATTGAAAAAGTTTCCTGGGTGGGAAGCAAATCGTCTTCAATCTTGGAAACCAAATCCAGTGGGTTTTTTTTTTTTTACTTTCTTTGGAACAGACAAAACTGATTCCTCACAGTTATAAGGCTATAAAACAGATGTTCAGCTCTGTAAATAACTAAGGAAAACTGAGATTGACTGAGAAGCTTCAGCCCATCAAAGCTAGGAAATCTGGGAATCTCAAACATATTTCAGTATAAAGTGAAACAGAAAGATGCAGTCGAACCAGTCTGTATAATCATGGCTGCAGAGTATAAATACTGATGGAAATCTCACACTTATTTCTTTTAATTTAAAAAAAAACAAAACTTTTTGCTAGAAATCTGTACAACTTTGCATTTAGGTTGCAGATGTTTTGCTGGTTCTGCTTCAGGAAACAAAGTCCATCTCCAGTCTTTGATTCAGTCCATCGTTCAGGAGTGGGATCATAAAACGAACAGCCACAGCGGGGGAGAGAAGATCGATTTACCTTCACATGAAAGGCAGATGCATTTCAGGTTGCTCTTTATTTCCCCCTCATACATCCTCCCTCTGAAGACAACCTAAAGCCATAAGAAAAAGCCCTGGAAGTGACCTGGAAGTCCTACCACCACTTCTCAAACACAATCCTGTCCTTAGGGAGGCCGAGGTGCATCAGGGTTTGTGAAACGGCCTCTATCATCGGCGGGGGTCCGCATAAGTAACACAAAGTCCTTTGTGGGTCCACATTTGCCTGCAACTCCTCCTCCGTGATTCTCCCACCTGAGGAAACACGAGGGAGCAAACGCATTAATTAAACCTCAGCGCCGAGGCTCATACACACAGCTGTGATAGCGCCGGCTTCAACGCCACGAAGCGGATAAATCAAAGAAAGCCGACTGCGCTGGAATGTGACAGTCAATCAATCATCCCAGCTAAATGAAGAATTTTGTAAATTACTTTTGACAAAGGGCTGAAGGTGCGGCTCCACTTCTGCCCTCTGCTGCGTGACGTGAAAGTTGCAGGAGAACTTGTCAGGAAACTGTCCACATTTCTCAATGATGGAAGTCTGGGGGGAAACACAAGTCAGGTGGTGAGAGCCTACAGCATGTTTGAGCTTTTCCATATTTTGCTCACATTATGACCAGGAAATGTAACGTTAGAGCCGAACCTTGAAGAGCAGCTCCTGTGTGTTCTTAGCGCTGTAGCAGAGGTGGGCGGAGCCGATGCTGTAGTCCCGGCCACCGGAGGATTGATTGAGACGCAGCAGATCTGAAGTGTGCAAAAGAATAGAGTACAGGGGATTGATTCCGACGCCCCCGGCAACCAGCAGCAAGTCCACAGACGGATCTGAAGGCTGCGGGTCAAAGTAGAAGTCCCCGCCCACACGCATGGCCACACGAGAGCCCACTGCGCACTGACAGGAAGAGAAAAGGAGGAAGACATTACAGCGTTCTCTATTAACTATTAATAATAGTTTTAAAGACTTTGAATGTATTGTGTAGACAAACGCCTTCATCTGCACACTTCTACATAATGATACGTGTTTTCTTAAGCTGCTATGATGGGCCCTAAACTATTTCTGGAGTAGAATATCAAACAATAGGATCAAACCATCCCAGACGTAAGAGATGTACTTCTTAGAACGCTCAAATAAACATCACCTTACCTTAGATCTTTCAACAACAAAAATGATGGTTTAAAGTCAATTATTATTATTATTATTATTATCATAAGCCCACGGTAAACACACAGACAGGCGACAAATATGCAAACGACAGAGAGAGTCAAGGCAAGCTGGAAGAAACCATTTAAATTCAAAACATCCAATTCAAGACTGATTTTTATTTTATTTTGTGGAAAACTCTTAATGATCCTATATGGATAGCAGGTAACTGGGCTCCACCTGCTCTTAAAGATCACAACTGACTTTTATAATGATGTCCTGGGATATTTTAGCTTCCAGTGAGTACTGGGAGCACTGGTGAATAATGGTTTATAAAGCAATAAGCTTGAATGGTTAAGAGACAAAAATAAAAGTATTCTTCACTTGCATTTCATTTTTTTCCCTGATATGATTTTTGTGCTAAAATGTAGATAAAATGTTTTTGCTGACTTGGTTTTTTTCATTCTTTGTTTAAAAACCATCATGAACATTTTTTAAAGCAGTAATTTCAGACAATTCAACATTTTTATTTTGTGGCTATCATTTTCTGACTTTTTCATTTTTCAACACACATCTGCTTCACTGTAATGGCAATGTTCTACAGTAGCTTCCACTTTAAAGAGCCAAAAGCATTATCTATACTCTGAGAAAATCACGCTACAGTTCACTAGTTTACTCCTCTCACTCACCACAGTGTGGACCCAGTGTGCTGGGGGGTGCGTCGTGTACTTGACCGCCAGTTCAACGATCCCCTCCCTCTGCAACAAACCCGGGTTGGAGCACATGGAGAAACCTCCCACTGTCTCCAGACCAGGGATGAAGAAATCTACCCTGCATCAGGAAAAAAGCATCATGCTGGTAACTCTTTTCATTCTTCCAGGACCAATAATCTTTTTTTTCTTTCCTTTAAGACAAAAAACAGGAAAAAAAACAAAAACACACTGATGTTTGGGTCAGGACCTAGAAGAAAACAGGGAATAAAAATCAAACCAGGAGCATAGCTGCCTGCTGTTTAGTTTATTCAAACTGCAGCGTGTTTGTTTACCACAAAGTGCAGCCATATGTGCAACCACTGCTGTGATGTTCAACATCTGGACTGAAGCCTCACCAATACAATGACCCACTGTTACATTAGACAAAGATAGAGAAAACCATTTACCCCAAAGGAGTCCTATATGAAGGACCTGCCATAAAGTATCCATCTCCTTTTCCCACCTTGAGATGAAGATCTGGACAGCTCTTCCTCTTTGGAAAGCAAAAAAAGTGGCTGCAAAACACCCACCGACAACATGGGCTCATTTCCACTGGAGGCGACTTCAAACTTTTAACCAGTGCAAAGACAACTACAGGAAAACCAGACCAGACCTGCACTCATCAAAGATGCTGTTTTCATTACTTGGAATCTAAAATTATTATTCTTTTTACTTTATGCATAAATCAAACCTTAAGTCATCCAGAGCATTACAGTTCAATAAACATTTCTACACCTGTTACTAACACAATTTTCTAAATATTTCAGAACCTAAATAAAAGCCACAAAAAAAAAAACAACTTATAGGACTATAGAATTATAAAAGTTGTGTCAGTTTTAAGGCTTTGAGCTCATGTGATCTAATCTGGCAGAATGCTGCCACCTAGTGGAGACTCTGGGTACTGTGGATTTACAGGCAGGTTCAGTGTGGTTAAAGCCAAGCACAACTACAATCCTTGATGACACAAATATTAATCACCTCTAATTCTTTGCAAGTAGCACACTAATGTTTATTTATAATGTTAAAGGAGCAATAAGTAATAGTGGTTGCCAAGTAACAAAGATTGTTAGGTGCTGTTGATACTATTTCTGGTCCGTCTTTCTTGCTTGCTTTCTTTGCTAAACCTGGGAACTCTCATACAATTGCTCCAGATGTAGGAAGCAAACACAGGCTACATGTTGCACGAAGCACCTCTGGGTCTGAAAGGGGAAAAAACTTAAAGACATTGTTGATAGGGAGGATGGATTAGTGATAGGGAATGTTATTTTCCATCCTCCGGTGACAAAAAAATTATAATTTTGTGTTATTATATGGTTATTTTCAATGTAAATTCCTTACTTATTGCTCCTTTAAAGAATCTTGAATGTTTTTTTGTAACTTGTAACCATGAAAACCCATAAATAATTAAAGATCTCTTGGTATTCATTTATTTCATGGATCAGTGATCCAGGGTGGCAGATGAAAGTGTTTAAGGAGTGTCTACTCACCACTGTCCTGCTTTGAAGCTGAAGTCCGGGTGGACGGCTAACCTCAGTCTTTTCACCGTTTCCGAATCGTTTATGATTCCACAGACTTGAGCTGGGTACAGCGCCTACGTCAGGCAGGGAGGAAGGGATGGAGTCATTATCATCTCCACCAATAGTCACTATACTGTTTTTAAATCAGAGCTCACATTTTGTCTGTAGTTGCTCGCCGTCCTCTGCAAGTGGTCCATTTGTCTTTTGGAGGACATGTTTCTTCTGATAAAGAGGAGAACACGGTTAAAAACATGGTTTGTTTGTCAAACGTTCTTTTGTTAAGGGAGCACATGTATAAAAAAAGCCTGTGGAGTTTGACCTTAATGTCAATAAACTGAACAGGACAGTGCACAATAAATAAACGCCATCTGCTAAGGCCGACTGGGGTTCAAGGAGAATCATGAATGGAAATAAAATTTCCTTGTAAACAACTGTGCTGACCTCAGGATTTATGAAATACAGGGAACCAACATCAGCAAACGACATGATAACCGACACCGCCTGCGAAAACTTCACATTGGACTTTCAAAAAAGTTAAAAAACAAACCGCTGGACTTTGTTTTCCAAGTTTGAAGACAATTTGCTTCCCATCCAGGAAGCTTTCTCGATTCAAATTGTCTGAATTAGCATTGAGTTCCATGCTTTATAGAGCAGCCCAACAAAAGTCTCGTTATGGCTTAGAAATCATGCAAATCACAATTACTCACAATTACTATGCAAATAAAAAGGATCCAAATCCAATGATGTTTCTTGTGAACTATTTCTTACTGCAGTGTTTCCTTCCACTCAACTTTCCATCAATGTGCTTGGATACAAAACTCTGTCGATTAATCTGTCAATTTTTTTTTTCCAATTAATCAATAATCAGATAGCCAGGTTTCTTTAAAGAAGACTTTGAAGTAATTAAACCAGGTGAAATCAAAACTTTTCCACTTGAGGAATTTTGGATAGAACATATTGCTGGACAAAAAAATATTTTCTTTTATCTTAAATGCAAAATGTTTATATAATATTTTACGATTTTATTATAATTACTGCTCTAAGTTGGTTTATCTGTCAGCTAAAGGCATGTTTTACAGTCTCTATACTTCAGTCAACGATTAATCGATGTGTTGACGATTATTTCAATAATTTATTAATCCAGAATAATCCGATTACTTGTTTCAGCCCTACTATAATCATAAATAATAACAAATTTTCTTTTTTTCTTTTTAGTTTGGCTTTCAATAAGTGCTTTTAGGTTAGTTTACATGAAACTGATGTAAACCAGAGTAGAGCGGATCAGACTCACCTATTAGCAGATCCGGGGGCCAGCAGCCGCCTCCACAGCGGAGAGCTGACAGCAGCAGAACAGAGGAACCAACAGGGGGCGCTCATCCTGTCAGAACATACAATACAACATCTGGAAAAGCCCATAACTGTCAAAAGTGCTGAGAGTCCAAACTAAGCACTGTCAAAGTTATGCTTTAATAGTATGAACTCAATTAGACTTTAATTTTGGTAGCGGTTCGTTAAATATAAAGTTTTAAGCATAAACATGTTACCCATCATGAGACAAAACTCCCCTAAAATCGTATTTTTAGCTTAAAATTGTAGTGGCAACCCGCCGACTTCCCTTTAACAATACGAGGATGTAAGAACAATAACATGACGTTTATTTTAACGCGTATAAAAAGGTTGGAGAACACCAACACGTATTATTGACATAAAATGTAATGGAGTTTGGTATGACCTATAGCGGAAGCTAACTGCGCGCTAACGCTACGTATAAATAGTGCTTTTATTTCGCTTTGCTATTTCAGTCAGACAAGGGCATGTGATTTTCTCTTACCTAAAACACCCGACCATAAAGGCTACCACTCAAACTCCGGCCAAATATTTTACACTGCTAAAATAATAACCTTCGGCATGCTATGATTACATGACTGTGGAAAGCCGACTTCTTCTTCGGTAGAATGAACACCTAGCATAGTTTATCAGCGCCCTCTTGTCTTGTCTTGTTGCGTATGGAGGTTGGCAAGCAACTTTTCGATGTGCATTACCGCCACCTACTGGTGAGAAGTGTGAATCAGAATGGCCCTATTCATAAAGATACTTGTATTTATTTATCTATATATCTCTATCTATAATATTAGTTATATATTATTACTATAAATATACTAAATCCTCCTAATTATTCCTGTTAATATTAAATATTTAAATAAATACTGATAACTTTTTTTTTTTTACCTTTTCTGCAGAATATCTATCAAATTCAATTGTACTTTCTCCTTATTTAGGTCTCTAACCAAATTCTTCCTTTCTTCTTCATACTTTTTACAATACATCACTACATGTTCTACTGTTTCGTCTTGTCCACAAAATTCACATTTGCCTGATATATGTTTCCCTATTTTGAATAATGTATATTTTAATCCTGGATGCCCAAATCTCAGTCTTGAAATAACTGTTTACTCTCTTCTGCTTCCTTCTGCTATCCTCATTTCTTTCCGTTGAATTCTATAAAACCATCTTCCTCTCCTTGCTTCCTCCCATTGGTTTTGCCACTTTTCCTTCATCCTTTGTTAACTTAAGTTAATCATCATATCAATGGTTTTATTATCGGCGCCCTCTTGTGCCCCAATTGCATCTATCTATCTATCTATCTATCTATCTATCTATCTA